TGTTCTTATCAGCACTTTTGGAATTTAATGCTTATCAACTCAGCAGGTTGCCATGCACTATGGGCAACTGCTAATCGCTGGTGACCTCTGAGGCACAGTGTTAAAACATGTAGTCTCTCCTAGTTGGTGCCTTCACAGTGTTCTGTCCCTTCTCAATGTTTCATTAAATTTCTTTGTGCATTTTTAATTTCTATATTATTAGCGAAAATGCCTAATGGGATATTTATGGTAAACACTTTATGCATGTGAATCTTCTGGTTATGTGGCAGCTACTGATTGTTTGTACTCTGTCAGATTTAGGGAGATAGGATGTGATTTTCTAAAGGTGAATTAATCTCTCATCTCAGGGACTCTGTATGGGAGACAGTGAGGAGCTGCCTTGTTCATGATCTCAGGGTGAAAGGTCAGCCCATGCCACAAACTGGAGGCCAGGCTTTGCTCTCTGCCTTCTCTTCCCCAGGTAGAAAAGTGTCTGGCCACCCTAATTTGTGCAGACCTTTAGCCCTCATGTGCTTGCCACACTCTAAAATTGCATTTGCTTCAATCTCCTTTAGTTAATATGGGCTCAGATGATTAATTTTTTGTGAAGTTTGACTTCAAGCTCCAGCTTCAATACTGTGATTGAACTTCCTTAAAGCTGATGGAAGTTATGTTGTTATTTGCCTGACAGGAGTTATTTTATGTGCATATCCCACATTTGTTTACCCAATATTTGGCCTTTGATTTGGCATTAATTTTGTGTGGCTGTAATACTCTAATGATCAGTTTTATTTAATAAACTGCATATTTCTCTGAGATGCTGGGGGTACATCATTAAATAATGAGATAAAGTCTTTTATCAAGATTTTTAAAAGAGTTACCAAATCATTGTTGATAAACATCTAGATGTTTATCACCTGCTCACAAATCCCTAACTCCTTTCAGTGTCTCCACATCCTTCATTCCTTCTCCCATACTGCGTACCACCCCTCTGTCTTGTGTCTCTGAGGGTCAGCCTATTACAGCCCCCTCATGTGAGTTGATTCATATCCTTTGTGGTCTTTTGTGACTGACAAATTGGAGTGCACCATGTTTCCTGTTTTATTCATGTTGTGGCTTGCAGCAACATTTAGTATACATTTCTCAAAATATCTTTTTTAAGATTAATTTTATTTATTTGAGAGTCAGAGTTACTCAGAGAGAGGAGAGGCAGACAGTGAGAGAGGTCTTCCATCCACTGTTTCACTCCCCAATTGGCCACAATGGCCGGAGCTGCACCCAGCTGAAGCCAGGAGCAAGGAGCTTCTTTCCGATCTTCCCACATGGGAGCAGGAGCCAAAGATTTAGGCCATCTTCTATTGCTTTCCCAGGCTATAGCAGAGAGCTGGATCAGAAGTGGAGCGGCCAGGACTTGAATCAGTGCCCCTATGGGATGCTGGCATTGCAAGTGGCAGCTTTACCTGCTATGCCACAGTGCTGGCACCCAAAATATCATAATATCTAAGTCTGCCTTGGTGTCAGACATTCCTGTTTACTCAAAATAGTAACTCAGCATGCCAGGTCCTGAAATTAACAACTGACAATTTGCCTTCAGCAAAAAAGAATTAAGCTAGTCAACTTTCAGCTGACAGCAAGTGTTATAAATAACCAAGGTGAATGCAGTGTGCTCTTCACAGTGAAAAATTATTCTACTAAGGCCAAAAGATTAACAGAAAATGTTTATTCAATGAATTTATTTTGTAATTCAAACAAATAAATTTAAGCTATGGACACATGCCACTAGCATAAATTCTGTGCCAGGTCAACCTCAATTTTAAGAACTCCTCTATGTGATCTGAAAATCTCCTCAGATTAAGTGTGTATAGAATGCTGACTTATCAATAAGACAAAATTCAATTTCAAACTCCACATATAAGAACAACATGTACAACACTGTGTGACCCAATAATTGGCAATCAGCAAAAATAAAGCACTGCCAATTAGAAACTTTTTGAATATGTATTATAATATTGAGGAAATGAAGAAATGACAAACTATTAGTTAAGCCCAACACAGAAACATAATATTCAGTGCAAAGCAACTAAAGGAATGATTGGATGAATATATTAAGTCCCATGCAACTTATTAACAGGTATGAATATTCTTAGCATTCAAATTCTGGAAGAAATGTAAGAAGTTATAAAAGTTCAACAGAATTCCAAGGGAAGAAGAAAAAAAGAAACCCATAGTGAGAAAATAGACCATCCAATTTCTCATACACATGAAATGTGAGAGCTCTTAAATTCTAAGAAACTATTTTCACTCAAGATATATGCTGTGATTATAGAGTAAATTGAAATTATGTTATAGCAAAGATGAATAGAAAAAAGAGAAAGGAAGGAGGAAGAATTGAAGGAGGGAAGTGTGGTTATCTTCTTAGGACTGTATCTGGAATATATACAATCATATCTCTTTGTATTAGTAACAAGTTTTTAAGAAGATATATAGAAAAAGGATTGAACATACAAGTGTAAAATATGAAATGAAAAATATGAATTCAATAGAGAAAAAAATGGAAACTAAGGAAACATCCTAAATTATCTGAGTTCAGGAGAAAAATGTTTACATTTCAAGGAAAACAAAATGTTAAATCTGATTTGAGCAAAGCAAAACATTAGAATAGGAAATTAAAGCAAGGACCAGGGACAAATGGCTCAGATGGACCTGGCCGAGGAGAATGTTCTAAAACTTTAAACAACTGATGAGTCAGGTGGCATTCAGCCTACTCCAGAAATTACTGGAAACAGAAATGCTTGCTCCTGGGTGTTGTCCTTAGGTTGGGATGCATTGAAGCTTTCCTGAAGGGTTCATGAAGGTGAGTGTGATCATGGGCACAGTTTGCTTCAGAGGAGTCCAAGGGCCATTCTACAATCTTCTAGAGCCCTTGAAACCTCATTCGCATCTCCTTCTTTTTCCAAAGCTGAGGCACAACTGAGTGGAAGCCTGAGTCTGACCACTGCTGCTTCAGGGTGTGGCTGTGTTGTTGCTCTGAATTCCATGGTCTCACCCTCTCCCGGATGCTGCCCCTCTCTTTAGGTGGCTGTGGAAGAACTACCAATATGTGCTGGCCTTCCGCTTTGCCATCCAGGAGATCAATAAGGACTCCCAGCTCCTCCCCAACCTGACCCTTGGTTTCAAATTCTTCAATGCCTTTGCCAGTGAACAGTACACCTTACTGAGCATAGTATATTGGTTGATTGGGATTAATGTGCCTTTCCCTAACTACACCTGCCATACACAAGGGAGACACATTGCTGTCATTGCTGGAACTACATCAGCATTGTCTGTTGAGTTTGGAACGCTTTTGGAGCTCTACAAAAACCCACAGGTAAATGAACTGTGAATCTGGAGGGCAATAGTTAAATTTCCTCCAACACCATTCTCTCACCTCTGAAAAATGGAAATGGGGCAGCCGAGTATACATACCACACCATGGTATAGGAGAGATCCCATGGATTTCCTAAGGATGTGAGATTATTAACAGGGGAAGGAGAAGGGAGAAAGGGAAATAGCAGGGCCTGTTGACAGCCTTCTTAAGATTCCTGTCTAGGGCCTGTGTAACCATCTCCCACCTGCTGGAAGCATAGGCTGTCTAATAGTCTCACCTCTACACTTCATAATGTCCACAGCACACAGATGTTCCCCATCCAAGGACAGCACCATCTCAGGTGGCATCCAGAGACCTAGGACAGTTGGATATAGGGAATGCATCTGGGTCCCCTTTGGGAAAACAATGAGGGTAACAGACAGTGAAAAATATTTTTTAAAGACTTCTATATTTGTTTATCTAAAAGGCAAAGCAATGGAGAAAGATGGAAAGTCACATACACATACACATACACATGGCATTGGAGTGGATCTCTTAACCACAGGGTCACTCCCCAGATGCCCACAACAGCTAGATCTGAGCCAGCCAGCAGCCAGCAGCCAGGATTTCCCTCCTGTTATACCACATGGTAGAAAGGGGCCTAGTACTTTTGTTATACATTGCTGACTCCTCCAGTACAACAGCAGGCAAGTAGATCAAAAGCAGATTATCCAGGACTTGAACTGGCACTTAGAAGTGGGATGCTGGTATCATCATTGGTAGGCTAACACACAGTGCCACTATGCTGGCTCCACCATGGAGTGTTGAGACTCACATCTTGCTACACTGGAGCTCAACCGATCATGTTCCCAATGCTAATTAGTCACAAGCACACAGGTTGATTTTTCTCAGGATTCCCAGTGGCCATGCCATCTACAACTGTGCATATCAGAACTGTGGACATGGGTTTATTCCAATCTTTGGGAGACAGGGAAGTAGCCAGGCAGACAAGGAGCTCTATTATAAACAACTCAGCTGATTTGCTTACCAAATGTCTGACATGGTGTTGGGCTTAGTCTACCATTGCACATGTGTAGAACCAGGAAGTCATTCCACATGAATGCCATGACCCAGTGAGTTGAGTCATTATCACTGCCTCCCCAGGTCTGTGTCAGTATCTCAAAAATACTTCCCCAGGGACCCACTATACAAGCAACAATCAGAACATGTGCCTGTCAAACATAGGCCATATGGTGAGCAGAGGATTCTGGATTGGAAAAAATATTTTGCCCCAAATTAAAAAAGGTTGGTGATTATATTCTTGGAGACAATGCAGGTTTCCTGTGGTAATCAATGCACTCCAAATACCAAGAGATCAACACAGTAGAGATTTCTGTCTCAGAGTTATCTACAATGGTGGCTGCTGGAGGAGGTGGCTCTACTCCACCAGTCACCCTGGGCAAGGATGGGTGAAGCAACATCCAAAGTTCCTTCTTCCTCAGGCCCCACTGCAGGACATGAAGAGCATACAGAAACTGACAGATTTTCTTTAAAGCTATGAAGGAGGAGTCACATTTATTCACCTAAAACAATGGGCATGCGAAGCATGGTCTTCTCTGTGGCCAGAGTAGCAAGATTTTTCATCTCTACTGCACTCTTTCTTTTCACACAATAGTAACCTATTTAAAGTTGACCTTGGGGAGAAATTCTTTTCACTCACTTCCAAGAGAGATAACACAAATCCTACAAAAGTTTGATCATGTTTTTCTTTGCTTTCAGCTCACCTATGGCCCTTTTGATCCCATGCTAAATGATAAAGATCAGTTTCCCTCACTCTATCAGATGGCAACCAGTGACAGCTCTTTGGGCCATGGAATGATCTACTTGTTGCTGCATTTTGGCTGGACTTGGGTGGTGCTCTTTGTGTCTGATGACATGAAAGGAGAGCAGTTCCTTCAGTATTTTGAAGCAGAGATGCTCAAGAAAGGTATCTGTGTGGCCTTTACAGTTAAGCTCCCTGTCACAAAGAAGTTGTATGGGTATGGTGATCTCACTTTCATGAGTAGCATCAGAGTTTCATCTGCAAATGTGCATATACTCTATGGTGATGTAAGAGGTCTCATCAGTGTGGACATTTCAGTGCAGTCCTTTGTAACCATCGGGAAAGTGTGGATCATGACATCAAAGTGGGATCTTGTTATGTCTGAGACAAACCACATGTTGCATTCTTTGCACGGAGGCTTCTCATTTTCACCCCACAAGGAAGAAATCCCTGGCCTCAAACATTTGTCAAGATGGCAAACCCTTCCCACTACCCAGAAGACTTTTATTTCAGTAAATTATGGCTTTTCCATCTGCACTGCTCACTTGAAGGATCATTTTGTGGACATATTGGAAGCTGCCCACCAAATACCTCCTTAGAGTTTCTTCCAGGACATATTGACTTGCTGACCATATCTGACTCCAGCTATTTAGTCTACAATGCTGTCTACACAGTGGCCCACGTCCTCCATAAAATGATTTTGGAGAAAGTAGAAATGGGATCTCCAGGAGAAGCAATACAACCTATGATTCTTCCCTGGCAGGTAAACCTCCCCTAAAACAGAACAGAAAGTTGCCACCTGATGGAATCTAGAGATGTTGTATTGAGATACAGCATCATGACCCTGCTATCTTCTCAAGGTCAGAGAGATTAGGTACATCAGAAGTTGGGTTCTTTCCATTGGTTATTGGTATATCTGTGATTGTTGGCTTTGGCTGGAAATTTCAATCTCTATGGATTTTGAATGGTTACTTTCTGAACAGAAATGGTATCAGAAAAGTTTGTAATGTAGGCTGAAATGCTGCAATACGTGAGAAAATTTGACAGATAAAAAGTTGTCATGCCATAATATTCCTTGGAATTTATACAAAGCCAAAAAAGACGTATTGATAAATTATTTTTCATTTCTATAAATTTTTCATTTGTAAAATTTAACAATTTTGACATCCTGCCACATGTACATCAAAGGTACATATTTTATATATATCCATATCTACAGTTTTTTCTTGGAATAAGGATATTAATATCACAAGGAGAGTGATTGATGACAATGTTGCTAGTACAGGAAGATAAGGGTATATGTCATATACACCGTATGCTTCAGTGAAACAACATACTAAATGCTAGGATACTGTCACAATGTTTATACTCTGTATATTAACTTCCACAAATCAGAAAAACATATGATATTTGCCTTTCTGGGCCTGGAGTACTTCACTCAGCATAGTGATCTTCAGTTCCATGTATTTTGTTGCAAATATCGTTCAAATCTGACAGCAGTTTAATTTGATTTATAATCCTGCATAACCTGTGGCCTAAGCCCTGGATGAGATAAGATACTTTTTGTGAAAACAGAAATGGATTTCACATAATATCCTAAACATGATAGGAAATGGATGGGAAATGAAGCATGTTAGACCAACTGCCCTTACAAACTCTGCAGCAATCAGGGAGCATGGACTGTAGTCCCATTTCTTACATATGAGACTACTGAGGATGCACATGAGCACAGGATTTGCCTGCTCAGTCAGCTGAATATTTCTGGGTTTAACCCTGGCTTACATGAATCCATTCCCCACATATAGAATGTATTTAGAAAATTCTGTTTGCATGTGCAAAGGACAAATACGCTCATAAATTTGTAGGATATATTAAATAAGGGTGATGTCTAGAAAAAGTAAAATATTTGTAAAAATTAGCATCAGAACATTTACTTAATAATCAAATTGTATTTAAGCATTAGAAGTATGTTTTATAAACTACAGTATTAGAGTCAAACCTTGGGAAAGGAAATTAATTTTTCAAGAAGGCTTCCATAGATATAATTAATAAATTATTTGTAAATTTTGTCCTCTACATTATTTAAGAATTAAGTGGTAAACTGTCCCTTGACAATCAGGTCATGGAATCTTTGAGTCTTTTTTTTTTTTTTGACAGGCAGAGTGGACAGTGAAAGAGAGAGACAGAAAGAAAGGTCTTCCTTTGCCATTGGTTCACCCTCCAATGGCTGCCATGGCCGGCGTGCTACAGCCGGCGCACCACGCTGATCTGATGGCAGGAGCCAGGTGCTTCTCCTGGTCTCCCATGGGGTGCAGGGCCCAAGCACTTGGGCCATCCCCCACTGCACTCCCTGGCCATAGCAGAGAGCTGGCCTGGAAGAGGGGCAACCGGGACAGAATCCAGTGCCCCGACCGGGACTAGAACCTGGTGTGTCGGCGCCGCAAGGTGGAGGATTAGCCTAGTGAACCACGGCACCAGCCTAGGTCATGGACTCTTGAAGACATTGATTCTAAAAGTGCCATTGTTACTTTTTACCGTGTATATCCTCTTTGTTTTGTTCTGTTGTTTTTTTTTCTCTGTTTTCTATCTCTCTCCCATTTCTCTTCTTCATACTGATAACTCTAGGTTACACAGAGTTATATTTATTTTAAGGCAATTGGGAAAAGATCCCAGATAAAAATAAGAGGGGAAATAAGAGATGGAGGAGGTAGTCTATAACTGTAAAACAGTTTGGTTCTGCATACAGTCATACAGACTGAGCTCTAATGGTACAGCCTAAGAACTAGTCATGGGGCTCCAAAACCATAAGAATTGGTGGTACAAATGCCATCTTCACTGTTAAAATGGTCATATTAAAAGTTAAAGGCAACAGATAGATCAGTCTAAGTTTAAAAAGGATGATATAATGATATAAGTAACATCAAGTACCTGGGAAAATAATATAATTAAAAAAGGAAGGAAAGACCAACATGGGAAGCAGTCCACACAGCAGACTCCTAGAATAACATTTGCTATAAATAACACTCTAACCTCAGAATCAACCCTAAGGCTTCCTTGTTGGGCTAAAAGGCCTGCGAGATCATTTCAGCATGGAAAGCCAAGACATTGTGACAAAAAAATATCCTACACAGAGGATCTCTGTGAGACCTCAGAGGACAGAAAGAGTCATCAAAGAAGGAGACACTTTTCTCTGAAGGGAGGAAAGAACATCCACTTTGCTTATGGCCATGTCCAAATACCGATGGAATCTATGGTCAAAACAAAGTCTTCCATAACCTTGGGAACCCATGGTAAGAGCCTCAGATGATCGCTGATATCATAAAAAGAGTGTTAATTATTAAAGGAACAACAGTATTCACTGTGACTTGCTCCCCATGCAGGACCTCTGTCCCTAATGAATGTTAATATGAGAATTGACTGCAAATTCTCTCCCTAAACTGTACTCTATATGTTGTGTGTGTGCCTGGGTGCAAATTGTTAAAGTCTATGCTTAGCATGGTGTTGGTCCTCTGTTTATAAAGTCATACTAAAAATGAACCATAATGAAGAAGGAGATAGGAGAGGGAAAGGGAGGTGGGATGGTAGCTGGGGGGGAGGGGGGCTATGGGGGAAAGAACCACTATATTCATAAAGTCGTATCTATGTAAAAATGCACTCATTAGCCGGTGCTGTGGCTCACTAGGCTAATCCTCCGCCTGCGACACCGGCACTCTGGGTTCTAGTCCCAGTTGGGGCGCCGGATCTAACCCAGTTGCTCCTCTTCCAGTCCAGCTCTCTGCTGTGGACTGGGAAGGCAGTGGAGGATGGCCCAAGTGCTTGGGCCCTGCACCCACATAGGAGACCAGGAGAAAGCACCTGGGTGTCCTGGCTTTGGAGGGGCACAGCATGCTGGCCATAGCGGTCAATTGGGGGGTGAATTAACGGATAGGAAGACTTTCTCTCTCTCTCTCTCACTGTCTACTCTGCTTGTCAAAAAATGTATTCATTAAATAAAAATTAAAAAAAATAAAAACACAATTAAGTGATAGTTGTTTAAAAATAACAACTTAGTTGTATCCCAGTACAGATGTGTTGTGATCTAGAAGGTTCAAGGTTAACACATACTATAAAAGCATAATAAGCTTTCATAGATTTGAAATTTTGTCTTTGGTCATACCATACTATCTGATATGTCAAAGATAGTCACAGTCATCACAATAAGTGACCCAAAGCCAAGGAGAGAAAGAACACCATGTTGTGTCATGTTCAACCAGTGTTAAGGTATAAGTATACCTTAAAAGGTATAATGTATATTGCTGATATACATAATATACATATCTTATAGATATGGACTTCTGAGGTATTACAGTGGCTTTGAGTCTCTTGATGGAAAATATATCTTATGAAACAATCATGCATTAATCTCTAATTTTTCCCCAACCAAAATACACTAATCATCAACTATATTTTGAACCTTATGAAGAACTTATGTAGATACACACCTATAATATTCATAACAGCTATCAAGTTATTTCAGTAGCCATCCATGTGCTGCCCAACTGGTAACAGTAGAGTTAGCTTCCATAAAGCCCCAACCAATCTTTCATGGCCAAAGCTTCAATAGAGTCTGTGCTCCAGTAAACCTCTAGACCACTAACTTTTCTGATTGGGGACAATCACTCTTTGATGTTTTGTTGAGGGAGCAGAGGAATACCTTAACCCGGGAGATGTTTAAGCATCCAAAGAAAATTAATGTTCTACCAAATGGAAAAGCTGAATGCAAAAGACAACAAAGAGGGCTTGTTTAGAGCATCTGACTTCCCGCAACTAATTTGGATGTGCTGTCTATTTCCAATTATGCCTGTCCTCCAGCTCCATCAATTTCTGAGGAAAATCCAATTTACAAACAGCGCTGGAGATAAAGTATCCTTCCATGAAACAAGAAACCACATGGCACATTATGATATCCAGAACGTTGTGAATTTTCCTAGTGGTCTTCGCTTGCTTATTAAAATTGGAGAGTTTTCCTCCAAGAGTCCACATGAACAAAGCTTACTTGTCAATGAAGAGATGATAGAATGGCCTGTTGCATTCAAAGTGGTATGATTCTCTTTTGATACGAGATACCCACAGAGAGATCTGCCAATAATCTTGTGAAGAGGTTAAGTGTGAAGTGATCAGGTTCTTTTGTAATACATGGGAAATAGGTTGGGGAAACAGAAATGGCAATCGTAGGAATGCTGAAATGGATGTCTAGGTATTAGTCACAGGTACAGGAGGAGGGGATATAGTCGTGACCTTCAATTGAAGGCCAAGGTGTTATGTAGTGAGGAGGGATCTACTGACACCCTTCACGGTGGCTGATAACATACCAAACCATGACCAGTGCTTCTCTTTTTTCTTCAGACCCCTCAATCTGTGTGTAGCCAGAGCTGTGGTCCAGGATTCAGGAAAATGTCACAGGAAGGAAGACCTATCTGCTGCTATACTTGTGTTTTGTGTCCAGAGAAAGAAATTGCCAATCAGACAGGTAGAAAATTTCCAATCCATATCTTTACTGTTCTAGTTATTTCTCCACAAAAGAGAAACCAAAGAGATTTGCAGTTAGTTCCTAGTGCATCATTGTTCTCTATGCACACATTTACTCATTCATTCAATATATCCATTTATGCTCACTAAAGATACTTTATGTTTAAGTTCTTCTCTGGTGATGCTCATTCTAGTAACGTCAACTGTAGCACTGATTCTAAAAGATATCACACCATGTTAGATAAGTCATCATCTGAGATTTGCAGGTGGAACTTGCTATATTTCCAACTGAGAAATGTAGGATGTATAATCATCAAGGCTTTCTATTGGTGCCTGTAAATCTTGAAACCAATTCATCTTACAAACACATGATAAGCACAGAGCTAGTGCTTGTATGTCATCATGGAAATACTGTATTCCTCCCTGCACTGTCTTTAATATTTTCCATGGAATTAAGGATGTCTAGTACCACAGGTACATTTAGATTTATAGAATTTATTAAAGGAAAGAGTCAAGGTGAAGTATGAATATCACATCCTACTAAAATATACAGTTTGGTATGCTCATAAAAACTTTTGAACAAGACAAACATAAAAATAATTACCTATCAAAATACATGTACCAGGTCGGTGCCATGGCTCAATAGGCTAATCCTCCACCTAGCGGCACCGGCACACTGGGTTCTAGTCCCGGTCGGGGTGCCATATTCTGTCCCGGTTGCCCCTCTTCCAGGCCAGCTCTCTGCTATGGCCCAAAAGTGCAGTGGAGGATGGCCCAAGTGCTTGGGCCCTGCACACCATGGGAGACCAGGAGAAGCAGCTGGCTCCTACCTTTGGATCAGCATGGTGCACCGGCCACAGTGCACCAGCTGTGGCGGCCATTGGAGGGTGAACCAACGGCAAAAGGAAGACCTTTCTCTCTATCTCTCTCTCTCTCACACACTCTCCACTCTGCCTGCAAAAAAAAAAAAAATGTACCAAGAATGTAAAAAATGTGCTATATCTCACTGAGAAATACTTCCATTTTTTTAAAATATGGGAAATAGACCTTGTAATGATTTGATTTCCTCCAAAAAGGCTTCTCAATTCCTATTGTGTTAGCATTAGCAACCATTTGGTTTTAATCATTTCCTAGAGGAAATAAATAGTTTTGGCCATGAAGAAGATAACAGAACAAAGAGCTAATCTGTGCACAAAGGTTTTGCAAAAATTCAATAACAAATAAAAAGAATTTAAAAACATATGCTGGAAGCATGTTGTACAACAATACTTTCTTGTATGTACAAACACTGTAGAAAGTATCTAAGATTGAAGCCAGAGCACCTGGTGTCCCCAAGAAGAGAAATGGGTACTTCAAGATAAGAATGCCAGGAAGATTGACTCTAAATTACATTAGGATCTTGTATGGTTGAAGAAGTGTCATCTAAAAAGCTAAATCAAACCCTCATAACAAGTGTAGCTAGACCCCAATACCATCTTCTGTATTTAACTGAAACAGAGATATACCCATTCATTGACTTGTCTCTATGACTTATTTCTTGCTGCATTGGCAAGAAAATGTTATTTCAATAAATAGAGAAAACATGGTATCCAGAGCTGAATTTGTTCCCCACCTTCCACAAGAACAATGGGGTAACAAGTTATGATTTCATAGAATGAGTGAAAAGTTCCAATACAAAATAAAAAATTTCTCAGAGTTTCAGAATGATATACTGCTATAAATGATCTGTGATTTCTTTACATTTAGCATGTATAAGTGAAACAGGCACTTTTATTTGGGTAATTTTAATATCCATTTCCTACAATTCCCACTGATCTATAGTCTTATTACTTTTTACTTTTTGAACTCTTGATTCAGTGGAGTTTTAAGACTTTGACTTAATGTAAATTAAAAATATGCTATTTCAAAAATTAAAAAAGGAAGGAATGAAGGAAGGAAGAAAAAGGAAGGAAAGAAGAAGGGAAAAGAGAAAAAAGAAAGGAAGGGAGGTGGAATGGAGGAATAAATCATCTTAAAATTGTACCAGTGAATGGAATGGAATCTCTTCTGCTTCTATTAATATCACATTAACATGAGAATTGATGAGAATTGTATTATACTAATTATCATGCACTTGCTATGACCCTGAGAATGCAATGTATTAATTCATTTTGAAATTTATATTATATACTAACTTGAAAAATATCTAATTTCTCCATCAATAACTGGGTAAAATATCAATTACATCCAAGTTTCTTTATTTTCAGAACACCTCTATTCAAATCCAAATGTTGTTTATTCAATAAAATGCACCTTAAGATTCCATTAAAAATTGACAAAAGGATTCCCAAGGAAATGAAAATATAAAATGAGGAAAGATTGTTCTGCCAGATATATCAAGCTAATAACTGTAGTACTGATGGCTGTAAGGTTATCTTAGGAGTTTGGGGTTGTTTATTTCTGTGTCTGAGCTACAGAGATACAGGGTGTGGCATGAGGCTGACTTAGGGGATAGAACAGAGAAAGGCTGGGAAGCATCCATGCCCATGGGAACAGGACTGTGTCACAGGATAAGTCAACCTAGTCCCCATATGCTGAAGGTGTTGTTTGAATGAGTTTGTTCCAATCTGCAGATGGGCATCCTCCCTGGACAGCAATGCAGAAACTTGATCAGGTGTACCCTGCTATATATCACAAGCTCCCAGCAGCATTGCAGTTGACCATTTTCCACAACAGGAAGAAATCCAGAATTTCTACAAAGTAAACCTTCAGTTTTTCTCCTTCCTCAGATGCAAAGCAGTGCATCCCATGTGAAGATCACGAATACCCAAACCAGGATAGAAGTCGCTGCCTCCCTAAGTTGATGACGTTCTTGGCCTTTGAGGAATCTCTGGGGATGGCTCTGGCCTGCATGGCTCTGTGCTTCTCTGTCCTCACAGCTGCGGTCCTCTGGGTCTTTGTGAAGCACCAAGACACTCCCATAGTCAAGGCCAATAACAGGACCCTCAGCTACATCCTGCTCATCACTCTCTTCCTGTGCTTCCTCTGCTCCTTACTCTTCATTGGCCGTCCCAACACAGCCACCTGCCTCCTCCAGCAAATAGCATTTGGCCTTGTGTTCACAGTGGCTGTTTCCACTGTGCTGGCCAAGACCATCACTGTGATTCTGGCCTTCAAGGTTACAAAACCTGGCAGAACTGTCAGGCGATTGTTGATATCAGGAGTTTCTAACTCTGTCATTCCCATCTGCTTCCTCCTCCAACTGATTCTCTGTAGCATCTGGCTGGGAATCTCTCCTCCCTTCATTGAGTTAGATACACACTCTGAGCCTGGCCACATCATCCTGGTGTGCAATAAGGGTTCGGTCACTGCCTTCTACTTTGTCCTGGGCTACCTGGGTTCCATGGCCCTGGCCAGCTTCACTGTGGCTTTTCTAGCCAGAAATCTGCCTGACACTTTCAATGAAGCTAAGTTCCTTACATTCAGCATGCTGGTGTTCTGCAGTGTCTGGGTGACCTTCCTTCCTGTCTACCACAGCACCAAGGGGAAGGTCATGGTGGCTGTGGAGGTCTTCTCCATCTTGGCCTCCAGTGCGGGGCTCCTGGGCTGCATCTTTGTCCCCAAGTGCTATGTTATTCTCATAAGACCTGAGATGAACTCTTTGAAAGGCTTAAAGAATAAAAGCAAGTTCTAAAGGATTCTAAAATTTTTCCACTTGTTTTGCTATCACATATTCAGAGTTTAGAACCATGAATCCAGACTGAAGTAGCAATCCAGAAATAATGAAGGAACTAAAGTTGGTTTTTTTCCTTTAAAAACTATTTATGTATTGGACATACAGCCTAGCAGTCTGAGTGCATGGCATCAATTTCTGGCTCTGGCTTTGGCTCCTGACCTGGACTTCTGATTCCTGGGGACCCTGGAAGGCAGTGGTGAATCTTCACGTAACTTGGTCCTGTCCAACCATATGAAAATCTAGGGTCTGACTGACTGTTGTTGGTTGTAGCCTCATCCCAGGCACAGGCATAGGGGGTGTAGAGATGTGAGGCATTGAATGGGAGGTCTCTCTGTCTCTGTCACTAACCTTCTGTTTCTCTCCCTCTCAGAGTTAGTAATGGGAGTTTAGAGAAAATTTTTATATCGAGTAAAAATAAATTATGGTGTAAATGCCCATCAAGGCTACAACAACAATGCTATTTTATATTAAAAGGCTATCACTGAAATAGTTGAGATGAATTAATTTCTATTTATTTATCAGTGTATAGACAATGTAAGTGCTCATATATGTGAGGACATCTAATTAAACATGCTTTGCATTCTGTTTGCCCTGGCTACTGAGTGCTTGTCATTTCTTTGTTGACATTGTGATTTAAGTGAGATTTCTTTCCCAGATACGGGAGGTGATTGGTCATGCAGTGTTCCTCTGTTGAGATACTGTGTTGTCCAAAAATATCTTAATAAATACTCATTGTTGAACTATTTTGAAGTGGTGCTTTTATAACACATATATGGAATATCCACTTACACATGGCACTGAATCAGTAACTGTATGTTCTTCCGCCAATATATTGTTTTTTTATTTTTGTCTTTGCTTTAAATTTTCTTTTTCCAATTGCATATGGGACACAATGCTGTTTGGATTAATGTGGAATTCTCATAGCTAAGATGAACCAATTTTAAACTGGACAAGTCAAAAGCATTTAAGTGCATGCATATTCATATTGAACATTCAGATTATGCACAGTATGTTCACACATTCAGGCAGTAGTCTTCTCTAAGTGGATTGAAGGGTTTTCATCACCCTATAAAAATTTCTTTATGTAATAAGAAGTCACTTTCAAACTCATATCATGCAACCAATCATCTCCATATGTTTCTATGAATTCACATTTTATGAATAATTCTGACAAGTGGCAACAGTCAATATGTGGCTTAGGAGTCTTGGTTCAAACCCATACACATTGCACCATCATCACTTATTCCTTTTTCAAACTGTATAATTTTCCATCTCACAGATTTTTACCATTCTTTTTTGCAATTTTATTGTTTCATTTTTCTGCTCAACCTAATATTTTGTTATTTTTGAGATAGCATAGTTTTAGTTTGCATTTGACTCAAAAGTTTAAAGCTCCACTAAATAAAGCGTTCAACAAGTACCAAGCAAGAAGACCATAGTTCTGCAGGAATATAGGCAGGGGCTATAAACAATAATCCAATGAAAAATGTTCAACTTCCCTCACATACAGCAAATTTTAAAATAGCCATAGAACATTCATAGTGTAGTAGTGTGTAGTTATTAATAATTTGTTCAACAAAGTTTTAAAACAAAGTAAGGCAAAATACTATATTTGCAGCCAAAATGATATAAACAGACATATTTCTTTCCTTTATTTTTCTTCACAACCAAAATGAATTTTTTCTTAGATTTCCCCAGAACCCTTTTATTTAAGGTATCTAAACTTGACACATTTCATAAAAACAACTTTAGGAATGTTATGATTTTTCCCACGCTACCTGTCCTTGCACCTACACTTCTACTCTTCTTCCTCCTTCCTCTCCTATTCCCATTCTTAATTTACACTAAGATTTATTTTCAATTAACTTTATACACCTAAAATTAATTCTATATTAAGTAAGAGTTCAACAAATAGTATGAAAAAACAAACTGTTCCTCAACAATTGACACAAGGGCTGTCCAAAGTTATCGGATATCAAATTGCTATTTTAAATTTTCATCTTGTGACTATTTTAAAAATGCTAGCTACCACATTTAAGGGAGAATCTGTGTTATTTGTCTTTCTGTCTACCATATTTATTTTATCCAACAGCCCACAGCAGGACATTCATTTTTTTACACCTTGTTACAGGTATAAACTGGTCCTCCATAAAGTCTTCCATAGCGGCTTTATCAGCTTACATTCCCACCAACAGTGCATTAGGGTATGTTTTTCCCCACATCCTCACCAGCATTTCTTGTATTTGAAAGTCAGATTACACAGAGAGAGGAGAGGCAGAGAGAGAGAAAGGTCTTCCATCTACTGGTTCACTCACCAGTTGGCTGCAATGGCCAGAGCTGCATGGATCCAAAGCCATGAGCCAGGAGCTTCTTCTGGGTCTCCCACATGGGTGCAGGGCCCAAGGACTTGGGCCATCTTCCACTGCTTTCCCAGGCCATAGCAGAGAGCTGGATCGGAAGTGGAGCAGCCAGGAGTCAAACTAGTGCCCAAGTGGGATGCCGACACTGCAGGTGGCAGCTTTATCAGCTACACCACCATGCCGACCTCAGGATTTGATTTTTGAAATCAATCTTTTCACATATTTACTGATTTACTTGCTTACTTATTTATTTAGAAAGGCATAGGGGCCGCGAACAAGAGAGACAGACCCAAAGAGCCATCTTGCATCAGCTGGTTCTTTCCACTGCTTTCCCAGACCCATCAGGGAGCAGGATTCAAAGTCTACCAGTTGGAACTCCAACCTGGCCCTCTATGGGATGTGGGCATTTCCAGAGGTGGCTTAATTCACTGGGCCACAGTACCAATACAGTTTCTACTTTAGCCTATTAAAACCAATGTCATATGCAAAATTATATATATGGAAACTTTCTAATTTTTACATACAGAAAATGCTTCCCGCATATATTTTCCCTTGGCCTGTGGCTTATCCACTGATGGGATTGTCTACTGGTGGAAGTCATTGCATTTTTCCCAGGATCCGTGGATTTCCCAATGAGTTGGTTGTCCACTGTCTTTCTCTATAAAGGACGAGCCAGAGGGCAAAGTTCCAGCATTTTCCAAGGATCCACAGGCTGTGCACATCCCACACTGAGGGCAGCCAGGCAAACCTTGTGACCATGGGAAAACCTGTATTGTTCTCATCTCCAAGCCAGCCCTCCCTAGTGAGTAGAGAAGTATTGTGAACGCAGAGTGTACACTGGTGTACTTTTTCCTTCACTGAAATTTCTCTGAGTAACTCACAGAATTTTTTCTTAAGATTTACTAATTTATTTGGAAAGCTGAGTTACTGGGTGGTGGGAGGGTAGAGAAGCCCTCCATCTGCTGGTTCACTCCAAACATGGCCACAACTTCAAACAGTATTATCTCCATGGTTTTGAGTGACAGTCAATGTCATCTACTCTTTGTTATGTGTACTTTCTTGGGATCAGAGACCAGATTGTTCTGAAACGTTTCTTAATTTATTTCAAAGAAAGAGTTACTGAGAGCAATTGTAAGAGCAAGTGAGAGACGTTCTTCTGTCCTCCCCTTCTCTCATTCACTCTCTGTCACTCTGCTATCAAATAAAAACGAACTCTAAAACACACAGCTTTTCCTTCTCATCCTCACAAACCGCTCATGCCCCAAGCCTTCTGGATGTCAGCGGTGTACAGTGTAAGGCAGTTTCGCCCAGAAGGGGAGGTGGAGGCAGCTGGGACCCCATCCATGGATGGCGGTCTGTGTCTTCCACTCTGCTCAAGTTTGGTTTTGCTTTTCAAGAGGAGGCTGAGAAGAACGATGATTCCTGAGACCTTTCGAAGGAAGCAAGAAGCGTATGTGATGAAGACCAAGCCGAGACCCGGCATAGGCTCCGCAATGCCGCTCAGACCAGCTGCGCCTTCCAGAGCCCGGTTACTCGAGTTACTGCCCTCTCGGGCAATGCATTCCAGGGCCGCCGGCCGAGGGGAACCTGGAAAAGCCCCAGCAGGTCTGTGCACTCAGGTGGCTGCAGGGCTCTGGGCCAGCAGCAGCGAGTGAGAGCCTTTACCCAGTTTGAATTTTGCAAATGCCTGGAAGATGACAGCACCGGCAATCCCAAGCAGAGCCCCAGGACCGGCTGGTGCTGTGGGTCTGCAGTCCAGGCCCACGCCCATGCCCACCCCTGAGCCAGCCTCGGAGATGACTTTGATGGTTCCACCCGCAGATCCAGGGGTTTCCTGGTCTTTCTACAGCCGGCAGGTAACTCCTACGGACATCCAAAGGAAGACAAGGAAAGTGAAGAAGCTGAGTAGGAGACTGGCTGAGGCCCTGAATGCAGACAAGATCATCAGAGAGGGAGAGAAGGCGGGGAGGGGAGACTGATGGGGCAGAAGCTGGAGAGAAGGAGCAGCCACGTGGTGCAGGCACTGTGGGGGCAAGGAACCCCCCCCCCAAGAAAGAGCTTTCCATGTAATGCCAGTCCCACCCTCTTCGCTGATCCTGTAATCCCCAACTGTTCTTTATGAAACTCTTTAGACTGAAACTGTGGAGTGCACCTCTTTTTATGGATGACAGGATAGGTTTCCCATGAGAAAGGAACTCTTTCAATAGTTCAGTTTTTCTTTACAGTGCCTTTTCTTTATTTTAATATCAAAGTCTACATGGATAATATAGCATGAGGGATTATATAGTATTTGATACAATTTTTTTTCTTACAATACATAATGTTCAAGGGTAAGATATCTGCTCCTATGAGATTTTCTTCATGTTATGGCCATTTGAGTCAGATTAAAACCCTGATTACTTTCCTGGTTCCTGGGTTCAGCCTTGCCCTACTTGGGCTTGGGGGCCATTTCGAGAGTGAGTCAGCATATGGAAGATCTCCCTCTCTCCCCCTCTCCAATTAAATTATATATATATATATATATATATGACTTTTTAAACAATTAGAGGTGAGAACAGGCAGCAGCCATAAAGCTCAACTTTGCCCTATTCAATGCAATCTTTGTAACTGTAGCAACCTCAATGTAAACTATTTTAACTGGTATTATCACAGTTGTTGACACGAGTGGCATTCAATGGATCTTCTTAAAAGTTCTTAAAAGAACTTACAGAATAAAGGTCCTCAAGAATTTTTTTGCAAAAAAAAATGTATTAAGGACATAGGTTATAACATGATTGTTTCATGCTGAAACAAGCTAATCAAAAATGACCAAATATTATTATACAATGTAGAGTAGGCCTAGATAACATGGTTTGACTGTATGTGTTTAGGGCC